GTGGGCAAAAATTTGATCCATTTAAAATTAAATCTACAACTGAAAATGTGCTGAAAGTGAAGGGTCTGAACGCTTTCTGAAGCCACTGTCAAGGTTTCAGGATGTGAGTCCAACACACACAGACTCTAATCAAATAGCCTTCTTTGGGGCAACAAACATTTTAGATGCATTAAAAAGAAGTGATGTAGTAAGCATGGTCGTCCTCCTTTGAGCTTTTAGATATACAGTAAAGATACTCCATAACAATCCATAACATCTTTAGAAAGATGTTTACCTGCTGCAGCTTGCAGGTGCACAGCTGGTCCACGTTAACAAAGAGGAGCATCAGCTTCCAAGAATCCTGTAAATAAAAATATGACATAATATCAACCACCTTTAATGCTGTTAATGCCAGTAAGGTTCTCTATTGTATTATTAACATTTGAAGGGTATTTTCCCTCACACTCCAGCAGTAAAAGTTCTTTTTTTTAATGTGGAATGTTTACATAAGTAAGTCCAATTTTGAAGTATCTGTTCTTTACTTGGGTAGTTTTTGTTTTCTGCTACTTCATATTGTACTTTTTACTGCACTTTATTTATTTGATAACTTTTGTTACATTTCAGAATCAAATTAATGAAAGATAAGACTTTGATCTCTGGTGGAAAATTTACAGTCTACCCAGCAGTAATTCAAATTATAAACATATATCCTAGTTAAAACCAGCTCCACCTTTACTGGCTGCAATATTAAAATGATGTACACAAAAATCATCAGTCATTTTAATCCAATAATGTAATATTTTTATGTGAAATGCACCATTTTGCCTAATGAGTACTTTTACTTTTGATGCTAATTCTCCTTCATTCAAAATCTACTTATGTAACATTTTGAATGCAGGACTGTAGTTTGTAATAGAGTATTCTTACACTGTGGTACAGCTACTTTTACTTAAATAAAAAAAAATCGGAGTATTTCTTCCACCACTGATAAATACGCCAAACATTCCAGGCTACGTTACCTGATTGTTCTGGAGAAACAGGGACATGTGTTTTGCCTGCTCCACCAATGAGCTACAAAAAGGAGAAATACAGAGGAGAACATGTCAAATGATTTGGAGCAGCTGGAAACGATCTCATATGTCAGAAAGCTCCTCTACCTGTGTTGATCAAACTGAGGGGCGTATGGGTGCGTTTCCTCTGAGACGGGGCTGATCAGTGCAGGATTGAACAGGCTCATCAGCTCTGATGAAGGAAGATGGACACAAGCTTTAAACCCAAACATGCAGCGTGCACATGTAGTGGAGCTTAAACAATTTGTTGATTAATCAAAGAAAAACTGAGCAGCAACAATACTGATAATGTTTTAAGTCACTTTTTAAGTAAAAAATGCTTGGTTCTAGTGTCTTAAATACAAGTATTTGCTGGTTTTCCTGCTGTTCTAAGATAGTAAAACTAATATCTGTCAGTTTTGGACTGCTGAACACAAGCACTGTGAATATGTCAACTTAGTCTTTACATGCCCCTTTTAAAATCCAGACGTGCTAATAACATTAAATAATTCTTTAAGTAATTATCTAGTTTCTAATGAAGCATGATATCATAACACATTTTAAGGCACAGTTCCTGCTTTGTTACAGTGAATATTTTATCAGTGTGAAGCACAGACAGTACTTTTTATTTCATAAAGATAAAGATAAAACCACAAGTGTTATGTTTACAGTAAGTTCACTGTTATTATCACAGTTAGTGTAGATATCAGTGTGGTAAAGATAGTGCACGGTAGTGTAATAGAAGCTCATATAAGCCTCTAGATGATTGACTCCGTGTATTAGATTGTACACCAGTTCTAGTGCAGGTTAAATTTTGACTAAGCACCAGCAAGAGGTTTTCTCATCAACCCTGTGAACTTTTAAAACGAATCAATACCCTGGGGAGTTAATTGTATTATAGTAAAGTTTAAACAGTGTAAAACAAGGAGAAACATTTATGCATAGAAAGTTGGTAAAATGAACCAAAATCATCCAAACGGCCATGAAACAACTGGCTTTGTAAACACTGCAAACAACAGACTTAACTCATTTATTTTCATTTACCTCTGAGTTTTGACACCGTGGCGGACAGCTGAGCACTGAAGAAAAATAAAACGGAGTGATTATGATTATGCCTTTGATGAATTTCTGACTTTGTGAAGCAAATGTTGTATCATAGCTGAAGATAACCTGTGCTCACCCATGAAGTCCGATAGAAGAAAGCACAGCCACATCTGAAGGCCTAACACTGTTGGCTGGAGAAAGAAAAAGGGCGGCTGAGGTAAAAGGACTAAGGTGAAGAGACAGGAGAACTGACTGTAGCAAATCAGAAACAACAGCTGAGTTATTACTGAAACTTTCATTTGTAGGCAGAATTTTATTCATGGTGGAGCTATTATATTATGGGTTGTTCAATTTGTCAGTTTGTCTTAGTTTATGAACTCATTTTATATTTTTTTTTAGAAGAAAAAGATTAGTCTGCAAGCTAACTAGTAAGGTTAGCTGTCAGATAATGGAGTAACAATTATAGCATAGCATAGTATAATAGCATAACATGGTCATGCTCAAGTAAAGTACCTTGAAAATGTACATAAGTGGCCCTGTAGAGTTACATAAAAATGTCTGATAATCTGAAGGGATATGTGACGATTTACTGTGTAAATCATATTACAAAATTAAACCCCGACTTCAAGCCAAACTGGTTTTGTTTAATAGATTTGGTCAGATTTCTACAAATCCACTGTCTTCTCTTTCCACTGCCAGTCATTGATGTAAGCCAGGCTCTGTTGCATTAGATCTCTATAAGACTCACCATTTGATGGAGATGACTGAGAGGGGAACATCTGAGTGCAAAGCAGTCCACTTACTGAAAGCAAACAGATGGTGTAGCAAATATAAACGTCATTCTCAACAGCTGACGTGACATGCAGAATCGTTTAATTTATGAAAGAAAGTTTATTCAAAGGTTTATGAAGAGTTTACTGTAAGTATAAAAAGGCCTCAGGTTCAAACTCAAAACATTTTCCAGATGTATTCTAGAATGTACAGTTTTTCCTCCGCTGATGACTATCAAACATTAATCAGGACCACATCCAGCTTCATCCTGAAAAATTATGATCAGTTACTATTGTGTCTTACATAGATAGATAGATAGCCAGACAGACCTGTTGTCCATGCAAACCCCAGAAGTGCAATTAGAACCAGGCGTGAAAGCATATTTTCTCTGCTTTGGTCAGATTTCTTCCGTGTGGGTCTTTCCTGCAGTCTGCCTTTCTTCCCCTTTGCTCTAATTGGCGGTCTGCTGTCCCTTTATGCCATTATCAGTTATGCCTGGCCAGTAAATGATATATGTCAACATGTATGCATGGAGAAGAGGGACTGGCCTAGGCTACTTGTCCAAAGGACACAGCCATAAGATTTTATAATGAAACAATAACACTGATAAGATCATAATGACACTTTATTGTAATCAGCGAGATATGTTCATTATTGAGGTTATAGTTAAAGGTGGTGTTGTACTGGACTACATTATATTCAGAGGTGTCTCTATATTTTTGTCCTCCCCAGTTATATTTTAATATGTAATTGAATCAATACATTTATGACAATTTTACCAAAAACTGAAACAGTTGAGCTTCATCATCACATATGTCAAGGCGGAAATGTTGCATTGAACTGCATACAATTGTACAGGTCAGCTGTATGTTCTCAGGTAAATCAAGCTGGCTGTAAGGTTAATGTGTTATTAAGAGGATTTTTATTGTTCTAATCGGCCAAGTATGGCTGTAAGGTATATTGATAACCGAGTAACACAGCGGGAATTATGACCTCTGGTGGCCTCGATCAATGTTAAATAGGTATATAATTCTCAATAACTAGCACATTAAATGCACATCCTCCTGCTTTTTGTGTTCCTCCCAAAACATTGGAGACTTGCTTGGTTTCACACCCAGAGTTTGCATTGCTTTCAATATTTGTATATTATTCACACAATAATAAGTGATTTTCAGTGGCGTACAATTTAAATTAACCTTAGACAGAAAAATAAAACACCTGCTACCTTCACGTCACATCTGGAATACCTCCCGATAACGCAAGGATGATGCATGATTCACACTGATAAAATGTAAAACAATGCCCTAAACAGGGCAGGGCTAGCACATTAAGGTCATAGCCAGGAGAGTTCATCTCCCCTGTCAAAACCACCAGTGCCTCCCCACAAGGAGCCCCCTCAAAGAACCCCCGCCATGGCACTAAGGAGGCCTTCTCCACCAAAGAAGACCGACCCATCCAGCCCAACCGAGCTCAAGCCTCCACCTGCTCTAAAAGAAGCCCAGGACATTCCCAAGGCTGGACCACCACAGCTCAGCAGACCCCAACCCCCTAAACCCAAAGGGTTTAATATAATATAATATGATCTTGGCTGCATTACAGTTCTTTCTTATTCGAAACGTGATCAATATGTGCGTAAGTAGATGGGGAATTAACATGTAACATTTTAATTACATTCAACTGAAGTGAACGAAATGACTCGAAAAAAGATTCGTTCATTTTGCTGAACGAGATTCAAAGAACCGAATCAGTAAAATGATCCGAACTTCCCATCACTAGTGTACTGGTGTGATTTGCTGCCGCCTTGTGGTCATTATGTAGAGCTGCATCAAGCTGGGAGAGATACATGGAAAACACTGGGGAGATCATCATTCAAAATAAAAGCGACTTTGTAAGGCTGCAGTTTAAAGAACTTTATTGGCATGACCATTTTTATATTCAGTACTACCAAAGCACTGTATAAATATTGGCATTAATTTACGAGACATTCAGAATATTGTTACAGAAATGAACAAACATTTGAGAAGCTGGTATCTGTACATTTTTGCCATGTGCTTAAAAATAAACAAATATCAAAATTGTTTTCAATTAATTTTCTCATTTCAAATTTCGATTAATCAAGTAGCTAGGCCTGGGTGGGATTGCGTGAGTAAGAAAGAAATATACAAGTGTGGGTTCCAGTCTTTAGTCTGCTGTCTAATGCAGCTTTAAGGTCGTGTTTCCTATGGTACAATTAAAAAAAATACCTTATGGGTTTAATTTTGAAAGTCCTGAGCGGAAAATGTTTTCGTTCTGGCTCATGGATATTCTAGCTAGCTTTACGGAAACGCCATGATTGTGACTGTTTGACAACAATATAGTAAACGCGAAATTGTTTTATAACCGTCGAATAACCCTAAAACGGCGAATAAACACACTTCAGCGAAAAACAGCTTATTTTCTTTCGATCTCTTCCTTCAGCTAACGTTACGAGGTGAGACGTTTGAAGTGGACTTAACCCGTTACTGGCCTGATAACGTTAACTAGCCGTTATTTGGATGACTTTGGTGTCATTTTTCCATTTATCTGATGAGCTAATGTTACTGAGCAGAAATTAGCGTCGGCTTTTATAAAACCCGGAGCTATGCTAATTCATAATAGGAACTTAAACCACGTTGTCTTATGTCTTTCCTTTTTGTGTATTTTCCTTCACCTTGTTATTATATACCGGGCCTAATGATGCCTTTAGGTGTAAATCGTAAATGCTGTGATTTTCTATGCAGTAACAACAGCGTAGCATCTGTTTCTTGTCCTTGGAGGGGAATGACTACAGAGCCTAGACATCTCTTTTTATATTCTCTCTCAGCTCCTCCTTGCCTGGCGCTTGCTTCCCCCCACCCTTCTGTCTGACCTACTTAGGGATAATTATAATTTCTTTGGTCAAAACAGGTTCTAAACAACTGAAAAATGCAAGTCATGCTGACACCTTCATCATAACTTCACAACTAAGGGCTGTGGCTGTGACCCCTGCCCCTGCTGTCAAGGCCATCATCCACGCTCAGTTTGGGCAGCCATCCAATAAGTAAATATAATGAAATTAAGCAAATATTGTGAATTAAAGCAAATAAAACTCATACATTTTCCACACCTAATGGATAGGTTATGTTAGTTCCACTAATTACATTTCCTAAAAGCTACTGGTTGCAAATTAGTTATACAATGACTGCAAATAAAATTAGACCCAAGTTAATAAGCCAACACAAAGCCACAAAACAATAGTACATCATTTTGACCATCCATTTTTTACAGGTTCGTGTGGTCTACCATTTTTTTTGTCAGGACTCACCACTTTTAGAAGTGGAATATGGAGAGTGATGATATAATTAACTTTATGGAAAACCAACTTTCATAATGGATGGAATGACCAGACTGGAATGACCTAATTAAACATTAGCCATAAATCAGACCTGCTCATCAATTTGACTTGTTGCATTTACTTGCTTGGATCGTTCACATACCCCTTTGCAGCAATGGAAGGCACTGTTTAAGTGATTCACATCATCTAACAGAGCTGTTCTCTTTACCTCCTACTGCCACACCTGTTCCTACCCACAGGTGGTAGACAAAATGGGACGTATCTTCTTGGATCACATCGGTGGGACACGCCTCTTCTCTTGCGCCAACTGTGACACCATCCTGACGAACCGAGCTGAGCTCATCTCCACACGCTTCACTGGAGCCACTGGGCGAGCCTTTTTGTTCAATAAGGTTCCTACACATCACTTCATTCACATGGATACAGTAGTGTTGCACTTGTTAGTTTGATTGATTGGACCATGGTTAAAATAGTTGTAACATCTACTGCTGGATGATAAATGATCACCAGTCATGTTATATACTTTTTATATTTAAACTGCGATATACTGTATCTTTAGCACAGCTGATATTTAAATGTAAGTGTAGGTGTCTTTTAAATTCACTTGTTTTGCAACTACAACTGGTCAACACCTATCAAACTCTGAAATGTTTTCCACCATGTTCGGACTGTGACAGATGTGCAATTGTTGCCCTCCAGGTTGTAAATCTGCAGCACAGCGAGGTCCAAGATAGAGTCATGCTGACAGGAAGACACATGGTGCGGGATGTCAGCTGCAAGAACTGCAACAGCAAGCTAGGCTGGATGTATGAGTTTGCCACTGAGGAGAGTCAGCGCTATAAGGAGGGACGCATCATCCTGGAGAGGGCGCTGGTGAGGGAGAGCGAAGGCTTTGAGCACGCTTCCTCTGACAGCTCCTGAGCCTCCTGTGCTGCTGTAAGGATTCTCAATGTGTGACCACTACAGCTCCTCCTCCAGCAGCAGAGCATGGACTTGCATGGACAGTGTGCCATTTATGAGTAGAGCAAAAATAAAGTCACAAGTTGAGTATTTGTGGGAAGCTTAAACAAAAAGTGGTGGACATTTTACCATAACTTTAAACAAGTAAGAGTTTCATCTGCCCATCTAAAAGCACCTGCATTTTCAATATGTGCCCAACAGGCTGCCATGTTTGTAAAGTGTGTTGGTGTGGTGGGGTTTTGGCTGCTGTCAGAGGGAGAGAGTTTGCTCCGGCAGCTCAGACACTTAGAATGTTGTGCAAGGATACAGATTCAGCCATTAACTGACATTGAAGAACTAAAGTGAAGACGGAGTCTGATTAAGTGAAATAAAATCGCTTGCCCAAAGACTTATTTGCTAAACAGTGTGAGTTAATACATTCATTTTCTGGTGGACAGTTTTTATTTCAAATAAGTCACTTTCATATTAGCTGTATTCTCTAGAAAGAACATTATAAAAGTAAACAGAATTAAAGTACAAAATGTCATTATCAGAGAGGCAGATGTCAGCTTTGCCCTATTACAAGTTTGTATATCCCTGCTTTATTTATTACCTCAAGATAAATGATAGGAAAGTTGATCAGAAAATGTTTTACAGGGATGGAAAAAGACAACTTTTGCATTTCGGTACACTCTTGCTACAGAATTCTTCTTCCAGCCACATAGTTTACTGATCCTATTTCCATGTATTGTTCATTTTTGTCCATTTAACAGTTTCACAGTGATATGGTATTACAAGACAGTATTATTATATCTATTATTTGAAAGAAATGTAGAACTTTTTGGTCAAAAATAAAGAAATTCAAACAATATTTATTCCTTTAATCTGTGGTTTTTGTCTGTCCACATTTAGATTTGATGTGCTCTACCTGAACTATCAAAAATACTGTATCTTGTATTAGTTATTTATATTTGTGGAGATTTGTGTCTTTATTTAAAACTGACAACATCCTGTGTCATGGGGGTTCCTTAACCTACACAAAAACTATGCTTTATGCAATTGTTCAAATGTTTTCAATGTTTGAATAGTTGCTGTCAGAAAGGACATCAGTCAAAATCCATGAGATAACAGACATACACACACAGACCAGAAAAATAAAAGCTGGACAAATAAAATTAAAACACCTGCTCAATGTACTGTAATGTGGTACACTGAGTAAAAACTGTCTTACTTAGTTTATTTTTTAGTATTTAATGTTGTCGATATTGTCTAATTATTTTACTCATCTCGTATATGTAGAGGCAAAAATATTTTACGCCTTATTTTATAAGGCAATCCAGTAGAACCCAAAGGTAACTGAACTTTCACAAGATGACATGTAGTATAAGACATCTGCCCTGGATTTCATCATGGCATAAAGACATTCCCTTACTTATTATGGTTATTGTGAACAATACTGGCAGGCTGGAACAAGAGTGACCTCAGTGTTCTGTGCATTCCTCCAAGATTTAGTCACATGTTCCCAAAACAACCATGAGCAATACTAAAATTATTGTGTACCTGTGATTAAGCTGTCAAGTACGCAAGTATGTTTGTGATCCTACAGACGTCTACTGCCCACTCTGGATGATATGATGACATTTGCCTGAGGTGAAGCCAACATTAAATTCAACACTTAGACTGACTATGGCGCTCCACTCTGTCAAACTACTCATTCGTGGATTAATCTTCTAGGGGATCCTTATTGACTCCTACTATATATGGCAGTTTCATTATTTCCCCAGGTACCTAAAAAACAACCGGTACTGTAGAGCTGATATAATTATTCAGCCTTTGAATAATTTTTAATCAAATGCAGAAAATTCACAAGCACCACCTTTTAAAATATTAATATTTACTGTAACAGTTTTCCCAATTTATATTATGGCAGACTCACCATCTTTGGTTTTTGACTGCTGCTTAAACAAAACAATTATTTTTCATTTTGTACATGGAACAATCAATTAATAAAGAAAATAATTGTCAGACATAATAATAATGATAATGATTGCGGACTTACTGTAGGCTACTGTAATAATGAAATAATAGTACCTTTCCCCAGGTTTTACATCTGAGAGTTTTTGTCTTAAATAATCCTCTGAATGTTCGGCATAGTGTGTAATATTTACTATAATGTAAAACTACGGAAACTAGAAAATATTCACATTTTAAAAGTTGGTAGCATAAAAGTTTTGCCTTCAAATGGTAAATAAATTATTAAAATAATGTAATTAATTGTTTTGTGGGTGTCAAGGAAAATAGTGAAACTGCCATGCAGCCTAAGGTGTAGGTCAACAGGGGTCCCACAGTTAATTTGTTAATCTGGGCGTGTTTTCGTTAAATCATTGGTCTATGTCTGTCTGACTCTTGTAAATGGGCATTTTTTTAATCAACAAATTTAAAATACTGATTTGGTAATGGTAATACTGATATAATGTAAAATGACTTGTAAAAACCAAGAATGGTTTTGGGTTTGTGATAGTATTAAAGAGGGTTCAACCTGTTTAAAGTGACGGAAAAAAATTAACACAAGGCAAGGCAACTTTATTTATTTGGCATATTTCTACACAGAGGCAATTCAAAGTACTTTACAGAGGCATTAAAAACAATAAGCATAACGCAAAAGCACTCTATCTGTGCTGAAAGGATTATCTGGGTGATTGAATCAAACTCACCCTATAAGTTCGTTTACAAGCACGGTATTTTGGGAAATGTAGGAAGTATGATGCCAGCCATAAATATGAACACTAGATCCCGCATGAACCCCTTCTGTCTGTTATGGCGACACGTCACCGCGGCCGCCATGTTCCCAGGGGCGAGTCTGCACCTCCTAATGCATGTATGTGTATGAGGATAGAAGGTCTATCCACATTAAAATCATCATAACTCGCTGAATGTACAGCCGATTTTCCAGCTGTTTGGTTTGTTACAAACCCTAAGGGCGTATTTATGATACAGATTGTTTGTTTGTTAAAAATGCTAAATTTTATATCAAAACACTTCATCTTCTGCAGACTGTAACAAAAATAGTTATATAATATAGAGCGTACACTGCGTAATTATTAAAAAGTAACGATCCTGCATTGTAAAATGGCTACCATAATATATAATTACAACAAACACAAAAGTTAAAAGATTAAACACATATTTTAGCAGGCTACACAATTCTCTTTTAATTACATTTCAAGTGAAATGTTCATACTTTCCTCCTTTATATTTTATTTAGTTTTATTTATACACAGTATGTATTGGAATGGTTGTGCAGAGATGCAGTTTAAAAGCTTTATATCCTGCTAAACCACTCTCACAGTTATGTGCAACGTTGATTAAGACGTTACTCAAAGGTCTAATTATAGAAAACTAACAGGGACACTCCTTCCTTGTCTGCCCAGTTCTGTCGGTGTCTTCTGAATTGACATGCCGTTTGAAAAATATAATTTCCAGTATCTTAAAAATACTAATCTTTTTTTCTTCACCTGATCCTTAGCCGTCTTAACTTAGTATCAACAGTCTCATTATATTATCTTTTGAAAGGATTGGCAAACTGTAATTCATCAGGTTTTATACATTCAAATATTGAAGAATAGCTTCTTGCGTGTCAAATATTTTTCCCTGTTGTTTTATTCTGGCCAGACCAGCCAGACCGGCCCTAACAATATGGCGGCATCTCAGAAGTCCCGAAACGGCATCTAGTGTATAAATATCTATGGACGTCAGCTGGCTCCGCGTCAGACAGGAAATTACAGTCTTTACTAAGGGTGTTACAGCTCAGGTCGAATTTCTCAATCAGTATTTAATACGTGTGTAGGCTTTAATGGCATGTAACGAGAGCAGGACATTAGACTCCCTTGCCACACGGACAGACATTTACCAGCGTAACGATGGCTGCCGGTAAGTTTTACCAGTGGGCGTGAGCTAGCATGATGGGCGAATGTTAGCTATCGGAGTAGCGGGTAAGAGGGGGGAGCAGAAAAAAAAACCGAGCTGACAAAATTAAAGAACTGCTAGCCACTAGTTACGGGTTCATTTTAGTTTGGTTATAAACATAAGTAACACGTGTAACTGTTTATAGTTGCCTACTGCAGTAGGGTTAGGGTGTGTGTTCGTGTGTAACATTGGCCACTAACGTCACATTTTTGCTGTCTGTCCTCAGAAAACGTGAGTGTGTTCTTCAAAGTGTATTGTCTGACAGTGATGACACTGGTAGCAGCCACATACACAGTGACACTGCGCTACACAAGGATCAACTCATCCGGAGATATGTACTTCTCCACAACTGCAGTGTGCATCACTGAAATCATTAAATTAATACTGAGTCTGGGGATGTTGGCAAAGTAAGTATTTGTCATCCCCTTTGCTCCGTTACATTCGTTACATCACTGATATCAGAAAACTTGAGTAAATATGGGAAACGGTTTTCCATTTTCAGTGTGTGTAGATTCTCTTCTTACCCAAGAACAAATCCCAGAGAAGAAAACCTTGGTGAATTTGTTCTTAAGAATGGTTGTGAATGAGACCCACTGTTTCCTCCCACATAAGACAAACAAATTCTACTATAGTGACAGTTTGTGTAAGATTAAAATTCAAATAAAATTCGATAAATCTGATAAGGAAAAATAAAACTTGTTCAAGACAATAAAAACAAGGAAAAATTCCAGCAATGGCTTTAAAACAAACTTTCTTATCAACACCAGCTTGTAGGATTATATTTTAAGAGATAAGTTGTTCTAGCATAAAAACTGAGTGGTGACTAGATGATTTTTGTCAGGCACTTTGGAACAAGTTAAAAAAAAAACTTGGTCAGAGGACCTGAACCACCTAATTTGTACATTTGCAAGTGTATTAGATACTACTATCAGTTTTAGTGTTTTACCACAAGTAGACCTAAGATGGGAATTCAAGAACAGTGATACACCGACTTCCATTAGTGGAATGAATGTCTTAATGTCTATTTAAGTGAGTCCATGAAAGCATTTACACGTCCGTTGCTATGTCTCCTTTCTCAGGGAAACAGGAAGCATCACCAAACTGAAGACGTCCATAGTGCACCATGTGTTCTTCAGCCCGAAAGAGCTGATGAAGCTGAGTGTCCCCTCTGTGGTGTACGCCATTCAGAATAACATGGCCTTTCTTGCCCTGAGCAACCTTGACGCAGCAGTCTATCAGGTACTCGTACTGATTTCTTTCTGATGTTCAGATGTCTTGTTTCCAACGGTCCAAAAAAAAGCAGAGATTCAGTTTACATTAGAGAAACTGAAACCAGAGAATGCTTTTACTTAACAAACATTCCAGCTCTATCATGACTGCCTATTAGCGTTCTTATTAGTTGTTTAAAATTAAATACTGTATAGAATAATGTAATGTTATAATTGACTAGCACATTAGTGCATCTTTTGCCAAGTTAAATATTGACTATATAATATAAATAATTTATTCTCATGTTAATGTAATATGTGATATGGTTGAAGTAAAATATGTTACAAAATTGCCTCATCATGCTGCTGTCTTTGAAATGAGGGTGGAACAATGTGTAGCTTGGTGGTTAGCCTGACCAAATACAGCTCCACATCTGAGGTCTGACCACAGCCTTTTCACTTAACCACTTGAATGTTTTGCTGTTTTCATTCTCCTCTAGGGGAAACTAAAACCAATTCTAATTATTTATTTGTATAGCGCCAAATCACAACAAAAGTCATCTCAGGACACTTTACAAAGTAATTATTACATAGGGAAAACCCAACAAATCCCCCTTGAGCAAGCACTTGGCGACAGTGGGGAGGAAAAACTCCCTTTAACGGAAGAAACCTCCGACAGACCCCGGCTCTTGGTGGGCGGCCTTCTGCCTCGACCGGTTGGGGTGAGTGGATAGAGGAGAGACAAAAGAAGAAAAGCAACAAGACACAACAATCAAACACTGATCAGGTCGATGTGGCTGGTGACTGCTTGTCAGAGACGTAGAGCTCCAGGGCCATAGGGAGAGAGAGGAGAGGGGAGGGGAGGGGAGAGAAACTCAGAGCATCATGGGGCCCCCAGCAGCCTAGGCCTATAGCAGCATAACTAAGGGAAGGCTCAGGGTCACCTGATCCAGCCCTAACTATAAGCTTTATCAAAAAGGAACGTCTTAAGTCTAATCTTAAAGGTAGAGAGGGTGTCCGCCTCCCGAACTGAGACTGGGAGTTGGTTCCATAGGAGAGGAGCTTGATAGCTAAAGGCTCTGCCTCCCATTCTGCTTCTGTGGACTCTAGGAACCACAAGTAAACTTGCACTCTGAGAGCGAAGTGCTCTGTTAGGATGATAAGGCTCTACGAGGTCTTTACGATACGATGGAGCCTTGTCATTAAGGGCTTTGTATGTTAGGAGAAGGATTTTAAATTCTATTCTGACTTTTACAGGGAGCCAGTGGAGAGAAGCTGATATGGGAGAGATATGATCTCTCTTGCTCGTTCCTGTCAGTCCTCTGGCTGCAGCATTTTGGATTAACTGGAGGCTTTTTAGGGAATTATTGGGATATACTTATAGTAAAGAGTTACAGTAGTCCAGCCTGGAAGTAACAAATGCATGGACCAGTTTTTCAGCATCACTTTGAGACAGGATGCTCCTGATTTTTGCAATATTGCACAGGAGAAAGAAGGCAGATCTAGAGACTTGGATTTTGTGTGATTTAAAGGACATATTCTGATCAAAGATGACTCCAAGGTTCCTCACAGTAGTACTGGAGGCAAGAGCTATGTCATCTAAAGTAACTATATGATTAGACAGCAGATTTCTAAAGTTTTCAGGCCCAAGCACAATAACTTCAGTTTTGTCAGAGTTTAGAAGTAAGAAGTTGCAGGTCATCCAGGCCTTTATGTCTTTAAGACATGCTTGAAGTTTGACCAGAGCTGAAAACCCTGGCAGACACCCAGGAGAGAGTGCAAGTTCCGGGGACAAAGACCCACGAATCAGGAACACCAATGTCAAAAAAAAGGTGAAATAATGTTCTCAGATCCCAAGGTAGTATCTTTAAACAGTCCAAAATCTAATATACTCCAATTACAATGGAGAAAAGCAACAACTGAGAAACTGAATGTTTTAATTGCCTCATTGGGGCAGTAGAACACCAAAGTACCAACACTGAGAGAGGTGAAAATGGTAGTTAGGGGAGCAAGAGCAGGATCAGCCCCTGGGCCTAATGGCATTCCTTATAAGCTACTACCGTGAGCTTATTTTAAAGTACCAGACTTAGCTGCAGGCCGAGTGAGAGAGTATTTTCAGGATATGCAGATACTGTGTGTTTCACAACAGCAGAGTATGCTACAGCTTGGCAGCAACTGGAGATGGGCATTATGGCAGGATGCACAGTCTCACCTTTAGTGTGTACCATGGCAATGGAGGTTATTCTTAGGGCATCTAGATGGGTTACAGGAGGAGCGAGGCTTCCATCAGGGCAACAGTTACCACCCATAAGACTACTACAGCACCATGTACCAAAAGGCTATTGGACAAGCTGAATGCTAACTTAAAGTGGGCTAGAATGAAGGTGAAGCCAGAGAAATCAAGGAGCATTTCAGTAGTGAAAGGTGTACTTTCAGATAAAAAGTGTTAGCCCTGACTTGTGTTTTCCTGTTTAGGTGACCTATCAACTTAAG